TGAGGGTCCGCAGCTTCATTCTTGAATTCAGCGAGAGCAAGAACCCACCGGAAGGAACCAATTCCGGACACAGTGCAGTGAGCGGAGATCCTGCCACTGCACTCCAGCCTGGGCGACAGAGCTAGACTCCGTCTCAAACAAACAAACAAACAACACCAACAACAAAAAAGAGGATGCTTACCAACGCAGTGGATCCTCCACTTTGTGAACTTTTATTCCGTGGACAAAGTAGAGTGAAATCTGATGCATAAATTACTGGGGAGGAGGACAGGGGAGTGGGGTGGTCCCCAGGTAGATAGGAAGCCCTGTCTCAGGGTCTTGTTCTGAAATCACATCCCCTGGGGCATCCTCAGACTGTCCAGCCGTGAGAGCCACAGGTTCTATAAAATCTCCAAGTTACCCCTAGTGCCTCCAGGTAAGTATTCAGAAGTGGGCAGTGTGGATAAGTTCAGGGACAGTGGTGGTTAGTAGGAAACACGTGGACATTTCAGACTTCCCTGTTAGTTGACACGTTTGTGCCCCAAATGTGAATCCTGGGCTCATTATTTTTTCTTTTGTTTGTTTGTTTGTTTGTTTTTAACTGTCAATCTCAGTCCAGTATGACTAGCCGTTGTATTTCCCACGTTCACATCTTGTGGTGCCTGCTTCTCTTCCTCTCTCTTTCCTCCCTCTCAAGCCTCTCTCTCTCTCTTTTTTTTTTTTTTTTTGAGACAGGGTCTTATTCTGTCACTCAGGGTATAGTGTAGTGGCATTATCACGGCTTACTGCAGCCTCAAACTCCCACGCTTAATCAGTCCTCTGGCCTCAGGCTCCGAGTAGCTGGGACTAAAGTCATGAGCCACTACACCCAGCTAACTTTTGTATTTTCTGTAGAGACAGGGCTTCACCATATGACCCAGGCTGGTTTCCATCTCCTTGGGTCAAGTGATCCACCTGCCTCAGCCTCTCAAAGTGCTGGGATTACAGTGAACCACAGTGCACCTGGCCCTCTCTCTCTTTATGGAAACATAATATTTTACATATTTTTTGAGTACCTGTGATATTCTGTTACATGCATAGAAAGAGTCATGATCAAGTCAGGGTATTTGGAGTATCCATCACCTTAAGTATGGGTTGATCCTAGCAGTCATATGAAGAACTTGATGGTCCTGAAGATGCCTGCCTAAGTTTTGGGGGCACCAGATGGAATCCCCTCACTCAAGGCTGCCACCAGATGGAAGGGAGGGAGTTTGGAGCCCAAGGATGGGTGCTGGTTTTGGGGGCACAGCTTGTCATGGGCCCACATGGGAATTTTGAGCAGAGGAGAAGTATATTTGGGAAGTAGAAGGAAGATTTCCCAGGCAGAAACCTGCAAGCACCTTAACACATTCATTCGAATGCCTGATTGTGCACTTGCTGTGTACCGTGCAGGGATGCTCTAGCTGCTGGGGGT